AGCATGGCGACACATGTCAACTCGGCTCTTCCGAGTCTACCACTCGAACGGGCCATCGGGTTGAAAGCTTTGCATTTCGCAACCGCCTCCTGGGTTTGAACATGGCTGGCTGTTGTCATGCTAATGGTATAGTCCTCTTTGATATACACGGCACGGCAGTCCCTACAATCGAGGCCTTGAAGCGCGGCGTTCGTCGCTTGCGCAGAACCATTGGAATGACAGGGCGCTTCGAGTCGAGAAGGTGCCTTGCGAAGATCCATCACCTTACATCATGGTGGAGACCGACAATGTTTCAGTCAATCAATGGTTGTTGTACCGATGCTCTGGATATGCGGAACATGCCCAGAGCGTGTGCGACATGCCCATCCTGGCCAAATCACGCTTCATCAGCGTCAGCTTCCTCCCCGCGGAGACGCCCTCGTTGCCGTGTTGGCGTTCTGAATGAACTCAAATTACCACCCGTACCATATGTCTTAATACCCCGGGATCAGTCGGCCAAGGTACCAGAGTTGAGTCTGCACGCTAGCTTCGCGATGACATCTGGCCCCATTCTAGGCCGCATGACACTCGCCTCTGGCCGTGCAGTCCGCGGTGGTTGTTCGTCGCTTGCAATTCACATCCCGCTCACGAATTCTATCCTCGCACGTATTCGTAGGGAAAGCACGGTCCTTCGGAGATCCATCAGCCACGTTTGTAACACAGCAGGAGACCACGGCCTGTTGGGGACAGATGCATCACTAGCGGGCCGCGTTCGCTGCGCGAGTGGCTAGAAGGTCAGGCCGAACGGGATTCGTGAACTTTGAAATTACTCGAGGCCAGGCCGCGAAGCCACTACACCTAGGCTAATAGGCCCAAGCCGTATCAAGGTCGTTTGCATGAAGGGGCCAGAGCTGTGGCGTGGAAAACTGGATTGGCGCCATGGGCATCTCGGCATGGAGAGGGCGGAGCTATGTGATCGGTCCCAGCAGACGAGTGTGGAGACTTCGTGCGACGGGGTGTCGCTGTCATGCCTCCCGCACCAGACTAATCAGGCGCAGACTATGTCCTCCACTTCAGCGGACGTCTAGAAGGGGACACTACCCACCGGCGCGAGTTCAGGTACAAACGCGCAGAACCCTCTTTTCAGCGGCTACCCCTCCGATCGACTTCTAAGTTTTGACTGCTGCGAGGAGAACCTACATATACACATCTCTCCGCATACGCGCGATTGGACCCCGAAAAGACATTAGCTTACAAGACGCTGGTCACCTCCTTACTTGGATCCTCAAAACGAAACACCGAAATCGCCTTCCTGCGTCGATCTGCGGTGTATGATGCAAACCACTTGACTGTGACGAGCTTCATCCAAGAAACATATCCAAGGCGATTATACCGGTGCGGTTCCGCTCTGCTGACTCCATCTCACTTCACTCCTCTTCTGTAAACGTAAGTGATGAGTAACCTCTCTCGTTCATCAATGCAACAAACATGACCAACTGACAGAGTGCAGCTTTCACAGCTGAGGAAGCTCACGTAAGGCGCATTATCAGCCTCACGAGAGTACGACACATCTCAACACACTAAATCAACAACTGCTTCGTAATGTTGAACCCAGACATCGAGATCAAGTACCCGCTGGGGAGCAGACCCGCTATATCTTTTCTTCCTGCACTCATTGTGGGTTCATACATCGTCAGCCTAATCGGTGCTTTCACGACTGTAGAGTTACTACATCGGCGAGTTTCAGGAGCAGGATGGCGGTCGTGGTATGTTCTGAGCTTACATTGCTGTACGACAACCACTAACACCATTTTAGGGTACAAGTAGGAGGCTGCGCAGTTTCGTTCGGACTGGTTGCTATCTGGTGTATGCATTTCGTCGGCAACAGGGCGATCGTGCTCGGTGACGGAGAAGAAGAGATTCAACTCTACTACAGTTCGACTTACACTGCTGTATCGGCTGTCCTACCGGTGGTCGTCATGTTCCTGGGACTATCGGCGGCGGATAAGTTCTACAAAGGAAGCAAAGGATCTCTCGTTCGGTTTGCATCACTGGGCGTATGCGGTGTCTGTGGAGGAGCGGCTGTCACAGAAATGCATTACCTGGGAAACAACGGCACTACCAACTACCGGATCATCCTAAGCTGGCCACACGTCGTTGGGGCCGCGTCTATCGCTGTGGGCGCTTGTCTCGTTTCTTTCAGTCTCTTCTTCCACTGGAACAAGCATTGGATGAACAACGTCTGGCGACGCATCATCGTGGCCGTCGTACTCGCTTTGGCCGTCTGCGGAATGCACTGGACTGCCGCAGCTGGTACCTGGTATGAAATCCGCGGCTACCACGACGGACCTGGCCAAGAGAGGAACACTAACCTCATCATCTCTCTTTGTCTTGTAAGTCACCCACTTTGCGAACGAAGCACATAGCTGACTGAGAACCAGTGCCTGAGTGCGTGTGCTGTATGCTTCCTTCTCGGCTTCATCAAGCAGCGTCAGCGTCGATTGGAAAAGAACCGAGCTCAACAGGTCGTTCTTGCCATTGCCACATTCGATCCGGAAGGAAGACTGCTCGTCAGTCAAAGCGGACTGATGCCCTGTCAGACAATCACCCACCAGTTCCACCAAAGAACATTTGACGACGAATTCAACACATCGCATCCTGTGTTCCAATGGATCTTTAGGGTATCGCGCAACTGGACTGGCATTTCCGATCTCATCCCCACGATGCGAGAGCATCTACAAGCGACAGGATACCTCCAAGCGCCTACACACGGAAGTAACAGCCGATCGTCTATGGAAGCCGATGACGATATCAGCTACTCGGCTACATTCCGGGAGCTGTTCTGCGTCACAGCGCACGAGATTGCGCAGACACTTGACACGAGCCTGCAGAATCTTGGAAATCTATATGAGGAGGTCTTGACAACGGGTACGGTGATGAACCGCGCAATCTGGACAGGCAACTACGGTAACAAGACCATCGTGGCTGCAGACGTAGCGACAAAGGACCTAGAAGCTGGAGCGGTCAACCCCATCCTATTCGGAAGAGGTCAGATGCTTGTACTTACAAAGAAGGTCGACACCACCGAGGCACATCGACTACACAACCTTGGATACGGATTCGCGAGTGTCGAGCAGGTCAGCGACCATCTGGCTCGCAGCCTGCAAATCCCGCGCGATGACCTCGAGAACCTTGTTGGGCGCCTACAGGCTTTCAGCGAGAGGCAGCTATCCCTTCCCAAGAAAGGCACCTACATCGGATCCTTCCTTGTGCAGCCCAAACCCGGTATGCGAGGCCTGGACGTCATCGTACCGCGAGCTACACCTGGCCGCATCCCGATGGTGAAGCTGAGCAGCGACGAGCTCGACAGTCGGCAGCTGAACATCCTCACGACCTTTAACGGTTGCAGTCTAGACGACTGTTTGGTGCGCATCAACAAGCGGACCGCGACCGACTCGGAGGACGATCTTTTCCTCGACAAGTTCCGCAACAGGATCATGGAACTTCTGCGAGACTGTCCCGAAGAAACTCTTCATCGTTCAGTATTTTCATCGCAGCAGATTGACATGATGCACGGTCAGACCGAGTCCAGCCAGGCCACCCTTTTCGCTTTCTGCGGTATCAAGGAGATTTACGTGCAGTCACTGCAAAGCCTGACACTGAAGACAATTCCACTCTCCTTCTTCCAAACGTACCTGAGGTCACAGCCAGGATGCGCCGACCACGCGATACTGGCGCAAAAGAACCACAAGGAGTTTAGCAGCCTCCGACGCGTACCCTCCATCACGAAAATGCCACCCAGCAGCCGCGGCGGCAAATGGACTCGCGGTTTACGTTCGAAGCGATCAAATTCAACGGAGTTGAGCTGGCAGCAAGCAGATACGTGCTCGGAGAAGGGTCTGGTCAACTGCACCACGCATTCCCAAGCTGAGCCTTCGTCGCATCCATGGGGAGGCATCATGGTTACTTCGACCCAGAACATTCATGTGGACGAGACCAAGGCGGGTGCAAATGTAGAGCTCCACGATCTCGGTGTTCGCGCCAATGTTGGCATGGCAGAGACGGAGCAACAGACATTGGCAGACCGACTCATGTCCATCACGACTGCGTTCCGTGACCCGCACGCGATTCGCCCGCCAGGTTACCACGGCATCCGGAAGTAGATTCTTTCCTCAGTGGAATGGTGTCGTTCCAGCAATTCTTTCTTTTGCAGCATTTCCGGCGTTGGTGTTGTTGGCATTGGAATACCCTTCATAATGACATGCGATGACACAAAGAGGGACATTCACGATTCATGGGACAGGCGTTTGTTGGGTTTGTGGGCTACTGGCTGCTTCAAGGCTTCGAGCGAAGAGTGTAAAGCTTGTAATATGTATATCATGTATAAAGAAGAAATAAGAAGATGTGCTGAACAAGAACAAGATGATGCACTGTGAAGGCCAGAGTGGTCCGATAACGCAGACGGGCCCGCAATGGTGGGAGGCTTGGCGAATGACGCTCATCTGAACTTTCTATGCCCCACGCGCGAACTGCCCCAAAAACATTGACTCAATTCCGGCTGCAAGCCACTACCAAAGATCAGCTAGTGCGCACACTCTCTTACAGCATACGTCCATTCCTGATCCCATTGGAACATCCAACAACCCACCGCCATCGCCTTCCACCCGTCGCGACCAGCCCGCCGCAGCGGCCCCTCCACAATGTCTTTGCCCACCACCACCACACCAACCCACAAACTCACCCCGCTCGCAACCCTCACACCACCCTCCAACTCGCGAACCTGGCAATCCGCGCCGCATCCCTCCCTTCCCATCGTCGCAACCGCGTGCTCCGACCGCAGCGTCCGCGTCTACAGCTTAACGTCATTCACGCTCCTACATTCCATAACCGGTGGGCATAAGCGCAGCGTGCGGACTGTATCTTGGAAACCGAATACACGGGGGCAGAGTGTCCTTGCGACTGGGAGTTTTGATTCTAGTGCAGGGATATGGCGGCGGGAAGAAAATGGTGGTAGTGGTGAAATGGAGAATGATTTCACGAGCCGGCGCATAGGGGACGCAGAAGACGACTCCTCCTCCGAACGCGACGAAGCAGACGACTACCAATTCTCCTGCATCCTCGACGGCCACGAATCCGAAATCAAATGCCTCGCGTGGAGTCCCTCTGGCCAGTACCTGGCGACGTGCTCCCGCGACAAGAGCGTGTGGATATGGGAGGAGCTCGAAGACGATAACTTTGAAACTGTGGCTGTGCTGCAGGAACACGACGGCGATGTTAAGAGCGTGGCGTGGCACCCGGAAGAAGATTTGTTGGTGTCTACGAGCTACGATGATACGGTTAGGTTGTACAAGGAAGATGCGGATGATTGGGTTCAGGTAAGTATGATTGAGGGGCATGCGAAGACGGTTTGGTGGGCGGAGTTTGAGGGGAGTGGGATGGGGGGGAGGGACTGGAGGAAAGATACCACCACCACCAGTACATCGGACGCGTCACAACAGCAGCGATCGGAATATATAACGGAGTTGGAACGATCGGGACCGCGACTCGCGACGTGCTCAGACGACTGCACGGTACGGATATGGCGAAGGAAAGCAAAAGAGGGGGATGACAACGCGAGTAATAAGACGGGTGTACCTAGTATCATTCGCTCGGCAGCTATCGACGAGGAGTGGTATCAAGACGCTGTTCTGCCACAGGTTCATGAACGCGCTATCTACTCCGTGTCTTGGAGTCGGAGGACGGGCATGATTGTTAGTGCGGGTAGCGACGGCAAGGTTATTGTTTACAAGGAGAGGTGGAGAGGGCAGGCTGGTGGTGCCAGTGGTAATGTGGAGGGGGATGCGATGGATGTTGATGGTGCGCAGGCAGGGGGGTTGACGGAGTGGGTGGTTGTTGCAGAATTGTTTTCTGGTCATGATGTCTTTGAGATTAATCATGTTTGTTGGGCGAAGAGGGCGGATAAGGGGAGGAGGAGCGAGGAGGAGGAGGTTGTGCTTACCACGGGGGATGATGGGGAGGTTAGGGTTTGGACTCTAGACGATGCATGAGTGTACCATGTAAGAGTATATACACTGATGCTAATAGGTGAGATATCTGCATCACAGCATCCCGACCTTCGATGCTCAGACTTCAATGCTCCTTCGATATTCACGTCTTCGACCATGAGGATTACGACTTTCGTTTCGGCGCGGATGGACCTCAACGTCTGACTACCTAGGAGTAAAGGCATGATGACACGTTCTCATATCAGGCACAGGGTCCAGAAGTTGACAGGCCCCTGTCACATGCGAATGATGTAAATGCGAGGAATCAGGATGGGAAATGCCACACGTGGGCCATGTTGGCACTCTCAACCAGTCCGCTCGCGTCAAGAGCGTGTGGCGCAGGGAGCGTTGGGCGGACTGGCGTCATGCCAAGGTGCCGATCAGATCAGGATTCAAGGAAGCGCGAGAATTTACGGAGCGGCAGCTAGACGCAATCTACGCGTGTCCAACATTATACTAGACACGCCGTCACCGTCTATTCACTGTATCTACTGTCTCACCGTCTCTGCTGTGTGCGTCTGCGATGCTGTGCAAGGCCGTCGTCACTTCCTCACCCATCTAATTGGCGCTTGCGCATAATTGCCCCGACCTCGACCGTTATCACCCGCGTGTTCCCCCATATCTGGGCATTGCGCTCCCGACTCCTACTCTCCCACCTACAGACCACTCCGCCCTCTCAACATAGTTTTTGAGTTTGCACGTGCAGCGTAATTGTCCTCCACCTCGACCCCACGCCTATGCCGCCAAAACGAAAGCGGTCCACCACTGTATCTTCGGTCAAGAAAGACGCCATGGACGCTGTGCAGCCCTCATCGCGCGACGCCTCGGACGAGGGTGCCGAGGACCCTGTTCTGCAGGCCGTTGCGTCCAAGAAGGAGCGCCAGGCCGATGCTAATGGCACCACCACCAAGCGGGTCCGCGTTAAGAGCGCCCACGGCGACGAAGATACCGACGAGGATGAGCGCGCGAGCAAGAAGAGTCGGCGCACGTCATCGCTCGCCGGCGATGACCACGGCGAGGGTGGTGAGGCTGGCAGCATGCGCATGGAGCCTCCGCCCAAAGCTGGTCTCGTCGACCCCGTAGGCTACAAGACAAACCCGCCGCCAGAGGGACGACCAGTCAGGATATACGCAGACGGTGTTTTCGACCTCTTCCACATTGGACACATGCGCGCCCTTCAGCAGGCCAAGACGGCCTTCCCCAACGTCCAGCTCATAGTTGGTGTTACTGGTAACAAAGAGACACATAAGCGCAAGGGTCTTACCGTCTTGTCGGCGAGAGAGCGTGCTGAGAGCGTGCGCCATTGCAAATGGGTCGACGAGGTTATCGAGGACTGCCCATGGATCGTGACCGCCGAGTTTCTGTTGAAGCACAACATTGACTACGTCGCCCACGACGACCTTCCCTATGGCGCAGACGAGGGTGACGATATCTACGGCCCGATCAAGGAGCGAGGCATGTTCCTCGTCACCCAAAGAACCGAGGGTCTCAGCACAACAGGTATCATCACAAAGTAAGTCTGCCAGCTCAATTCCTCCTGCCTATACTAACACCCCTCAGAATCGTCCGCGACTACGACCAATACATCGACCGCCAACTCAAACGCGGCACCTCGCGCAAAGAACTCAACGTCTCCTGGCTCAAAAAGAACGAGCTCGACGTCAAGCGCACCATGGCCGAGCTGCGCGACAGCATCAAAGCAAACTGGACAACCACCGGCCAGGAACTCAGCAAAGACTTCCGCCAATTCTGGCAATCGAGTCGCCCTGCATCCCCCGCCCGCACACCCACGCGCGAGCAGTCGCAGGCGGAAACCATGGAAGCAGCCAGTGTTGCTCGTTCTCCTTCTGCGATTTCGCGACTCAGTCACCTCGATATTCCGAGGGCGAATAATACGAGGGAGAGTAGCGAGTTTGCGGCTGGGTATAATTTGGGGTTGATTGGTGGTGTGAGGTCTTGGGTACGTTGTCTCCATCTCCATACCCCTGCATAACCGCAAATACGCGGATGAGAAGAATCAAGAGGATGAGTTCACTAACAAGATAATTAGATGGCACGCTCCCGCCGCAACCTAAACGACAGCCGCCCGCAATCCCCCATCGACGACAGCTCCGACGAACAGGAAGCTAGGAGTCCCCATCTACATAAAGGAGAGCAGCAACAGGAAGTCACCCGTGGTCGTACGGGTAAACAGACGAAGAGCGAGCCGGCTATGGATACTGCGGCTTAGGATGCTGTGAATCGGTACCTATATTAGGGCTTTAAACGGCAACAAACGACGGTCGGATCGATGTTGTCCATTCCTCCTTTGGACCTAGCAAGCGCGCAAGCACGCAAGCAAGCAACGACTGCGGATTAGGCTGCTTGTGCGACGACCGACGGATTGTGTATACGTGGCTAGATGGGGAAGCCGTTGCACGACAAAAACGTACATTATCATAATACTTATTTTCCTTGTTATGGAATACTGGCTCAGCCTCCTTCTTCCGTTTTGCTCTGCCTTCGTTCGTGCTACAAACTTGAATTCTATTCTTGGACATGTTGAATATGCTAACCATCCGCTGCTGTGGTGACTGAGATACTGGAGGGCGTGGAGGTGGGAAGGACTGCGACTGCGACTGCGCCTGCTTTTCCGATGAGAAGCTCGCGAGGGAGCTTACAGAGCCTGCTTTGCTGTCGCTGTCGTTGTTGTTGGGGTCAAACGACAAGTGGTTGACGTTGACCAAACGTGTGCTGTGCTTGTTACACCAGACAATCGTTGGCTTGTTCTTTCGCGTATCTTTGATGCTGCGAAGGTATTGTGGCAGTGTTGAAAGAATGATGGATTGCTATTGTAAATGTTGATGTATACATGAAGACATCCAGTATGTACTGTTGATGAACCAGTCTTGCGTCAGACGCACTGCTTGTCGAGGATTGCTCATCTCGATCGAATCGATCTTCGTTTTATCTTATCTACGGTCAGAGCTACAGTCGGAGGCCAGCACCTCGTGTGGTACAGGCGAAAGACGGACGGCGAAGGAGGAGTCATCACGTACAGCACGGTCGATACGGGGTTCGGCGAAGAAGTGGCATATACCACCACACCAATCACGAGCATCTACGGTCTTCACACGAACCTACATCGACTCCGACGAGTGTATAGCATCTCATGTGTATCATAACCTTCACAACTCACCCTCATTGTGCCTGTCCCCCCGCCCCCTCATCTCCGTACATCCGCCTGTGCCCCTACGCCCGCTCGCTCAACCCCATTCGAGCGTGTCCCGTAGGCGCGAGGTTGAGCCAGACGATGTGGGCTGAGGGCGAGTGTAGCTGGTGTAGGCAGTGTGGGAGGGAGGGGGTGAGGGAGGAGAGGGTTAGGAGTAGGAGGGACGGGTATAAGAGAGAAGATGGGTACGGGGATGGTGGGAGGGGGAGATTTGTGAGGTGGGAGGGTTGAGAGGCTGAGTTGGTGGATTAGGAAGGAGGATTGGAGGGGGAGTGAGAAGAAATGAGGCGGAGTGGACGAGGGGGAGGTGATAGGGCGGGTAGATTCATATAGGTAGAAGACGGGGAAAGCATAGGGGTGGTTAGGACGATAGATCCTACATATGGAAAGGTTCTCGAACGAAAGATAGTATGGTACGCGTCGTTGACTCATACCAAGCTCAGTCTTGTCTCGCACTGATCACTGAAGTGGCAACTTTTGGGAGATGACGAAGGAAAAGTGTGCGCCGTTGACTCAAAATTGGGTCATGGTCTTGTTCGCGCTGGTTATTGAAGCAGGAAACACCCCAGAGACGCATGAAAGAAGAATATGCACATCTGATCCAGACTATGGCGTGATCGTATCTCGTGCTCGTTATTGGAGTTGTCCATTGGGGACGGGATGATCGCAATACACCTAGTTTTGACATGTTTTGTCAAACTGAAAACTCTTCAAAGATGAGCAAGAACACCCTCACAACGAGGAACATGTCCGTGGATATCCCATGAATACCCCATGAAGTGGCTTGCTTCGTCGTTTCTAATCACTGAGCTGTCGTAGTGAAGCTGACGCAAGACGACACGTTGTCGCTGTTGAGAAACTTTTCCCTTCATAATCGCAACGCAACGCGGGGTTTGCGAGGTTTACGTGTCGACGTGACTGGACCGGGATGTAGAGTCGAAGTGAGGCATGATGGCTGTTCGGCACTTTGGAGTGGTGCCTGACGATGGCGAAATGATCTTCCAGGACACTACAATACCAACGAGCCTTCCCTGCGCTTACGTCGGGACCTGCATTATCAACAAAACACCACACGACGGGCGGAGGACGTCTGCGAACATGTTCAAGGCCTTGGACAATTAGAGCGACAACCACTCAGCGTGCGCCGGGCGAGGTGGATAATTAGTCCGACCCAACGAGAGTGCATCGTGTGACATCGCGACTTCCTAAGCGCAGCAGCAGGCGCGGTTCTGCCTCAGAACCACACCGGCGTCTCCAGCCCTACTATATTATAGATAAATGGGGCCCTCCATGCTCCCGTTTTTCTAGATGCTCTTGGTCCCACCCAGACTCGCTGCACGCGGTATAGATCGCCTCACACCCGCGAATGTGATATACGACCAGCCCTCTCCACACCCAGGGCCCTCCTTACTAGCAGCCCCTCGGTTGTCCGCCCGTCACCAGCCGTCGCTTATCTGTCATACCATGAGAGGCTGCTCTGCTTTTGCCCATCACGATCTGCGACACACGAACCGGACAGGTCTTCTGAACGAGTCGGTCCTTGGGCACTCGGCAGTTTGTCGGAGCGGCAAGGCTGCTAGATGAAGCGGTTGCGTTTCAGTCGCCTTTGGATCCCGCGCCCGCACGCCAGGACGTCCGACGATCGCACTTGTGGACGACTCATGATGGCATCGAAGGGGCCAGGAACACGACTGACGTCGGTGACTCGCCCTGACGTCGACCCACCGTAAGATGTCTAGAAGCTGTACACGACGTGCGACGCGTCTGGTCCATGGATGTCTGCGCATGCAGC